TTCTATGATTCTATGACAGGAGAAAGGAGGATTTGCCTCGGGAGGAGGGAGGCAGAAAAAATTGGATGTAGGAGTTGTGCTTTTTTAGCCTGAAATAGAACCCGTTATGCAAATCAAGGTGCAGGATCTGTATTTTGGTGTTGATTTATTGAAAGTGTTAGAAATTGGCAGAATCTGGTTTTAGTTTAAAAGCCCGTAAGATCTTTCTCTGAGGATTTGTAACCGTACTTCGTGCATTTCAGCGCGAGTCCTGAAAACGGAGAGTTTGTCCATTCAATTCTCATCCACTGACGTGCAGCGAGTGCTTGGGGAAACAGGGAAATAGAACCATTTCACATGGGAGTTGCATGCTGCGTTAACTGAACGGAGCTCTGATTTTTCATAGTTGCAGAATTGGATTTCCAAGTGGTGGGAAAAGCAAGTAATAAGCAAATGTGAGGGCTGGTAGTATATAATGACAAGTTAATTGGGTGTCTTCATTAACTTAGGTCACTAAAGACAGAACTGCTGATGGCCATGCACTGACTGAGGCACGAAAACAGCTGAAGGAGGAGACTCAGCTGCGGCTGGTAAGGGCTGCACGAGCTTGGCGCTCGCTACACATGGCTTTGTCACACGACAGCTCCGTGTCAGACAATCCCTTTTGACAATATTGGGCCAGGGTTTTTTTTTTCCATTCCTGCCTGCCTGCTTCAGCCTGATCCAAGAAGAGTCTTGTCAGGAGCGATGTTAATTTAGTGACTCTGTTGCTCAGCTTGAGGTCTCTTTCTCAAAACGAGCAGTGCATTTTTTTGCTAGTTATGCTGCTTACGCTGCTGTGATGTTGGCCTGCAGATGTGGAATTGTTGTCCTTAGTTGTCTTTCGTGGGTCAGGTCTGTAATGGTGGCGCTGTGGCAGTGCAGCAGGCTTCTGGGTAGTGACCACGCTGGCAGGAGCACCAGCTAAGGGTGGTTATCTCGCATACAGTGAGGATTGCTGGTCGGTAATGCGGGCTGATCCATGTGTTCCAGGACGTGGAGAAAGAGCTGGAGGCGCAGATCGGGATGCGACAGGAGATGGAACTAGCCATGAAGATGCTGGAGAAAGATGTTTGCGAGAAGCAGGATGCGCTGGTGGCACTCAGACAGCAACTGGATGATCTCAGGGCCCTAAAGCACGAACTGTCTTTCAAGCTGCAGGTAGGAAAATAATTGAGTCAAATGCAGTGGGTTCCAGATAAAAGTGATGGCTCGTGTTCTTTTTTCACCCTCTCCTTAAGAGCTGCAAGGTGTGGAAGGGTTACAGGCTGTGTAACATCCGTCTTGCTGCAAGAAAGCTCTAGTGTTTGAACAATTGATGTGGCGGAGGTTACAGGAAAATGCATTTTCTTCTGAAGAAATACTCAGAATGAATATCATCATATAAATGATGATCCAGAAATGTACGTGTGTGTGTGTGACTGAGGGAAGCACCTTCCGTGGTTTTGTGGTACAAAAACTGATCCACAGTAGCTTCTTTTCCAGTACAATCTAGTAGTTGAAGGTATATGGGGTAATTGCATACATTACCGTGTGGTTGCAAAAGCAGATTCCAAAGACAAAGAGCAACAGAAAACGCTCAGAAAGAACCCCTAAAATAAACTGTAGAGCAGGAAAGAGTCGCTTCTGCTCTCCTTGAGCCAATCATTCTGTTCAGAACAGCCGAACGATATTTGTAGGCACTGTGCTAATATGCGTCACACGGGAAGCTGCGATGGTTACGGTGTTGCCCTTCTGTGGGGTCTGGACGTCACCTGCGCCTGCATGGCAAGATGTTGGTCCTTGCAGCGTCGACCTGGCCTTTGCGTTTGGAGCACCTTCTGCTGACTCTTTGGCTTCTGCCCCTTTTGTTCCCTGTGCCACGTGATTTATCGTGGCTTCTTTTGGTTTTAGCATGACTTACAAAAACCCACAACGCTGCTTTTTTCCAGAGTTCAGACATGGGGGTGAAACAGAAGAGTGAATTAAACAGCCGTTTGGAGGAAAAAACAAATCAGATGGCCGCCACCATCAAACAACTTGAACAAAGGTAAAAAATGAAACTTTCAATATTATAGAAATCATGTGTGTGTTCTAGCGGTAGCATCCCGCTGACCCAGAACAGAGCAGGCGACAGGCTGAGCGCTCTGCTGAGCTGCTGCTTGAACACAGCTATGTGAGGAGAGCCATAATTTCGGGAGATGCTCTTAGGAGAAGTGTTTTGCATGCTCAGGAGGGCTGCCGTTAGAAAAGAATATACAATAAACCAAGCTGCTGTGGTAATTACTGGTTTATTTACGTCAGCTGCACTTTTGTACGTTGCCCAGTCATTACGAGTCAATTCCTGTCTCGGATAGCACTGGTAAAAACCATAAATGTGATCTTGGAGGAGGACGTGACTGTTAACGACAGTATGACAGGGAGCAGGAAGGACAAGCGTGCAGCCACAGCCAGGCTTGGAGGTGCTGGTTATTCCAGATCTCTCTGGTACTGGGGGTTTTGTTGTGGTTTCTGGGTTTTTTTCAAACATCCCAAATTGAACCGTTCTCATTATGCACAGCCTTGTACTTTCCAAGGCAGATGAGCTTGAAAAAAATCCTCTTGGGTAAATAAACGGAGGAAGGTGAGAGGGCAGCCTGGCTGTCACGAGGAGTTGGTAAAGATAGCCCACAGGTACAATATCCATTTGGACTGGGACAAGTTCCATCCTAATGGCCGTGTTGCTCTCATGCTGCTGCCCCTCAGGAAATCGGGAGGGCCTCCGCACTCAAGTCAGGTGGATCTGAGAAGCAGCAGTGCTCCTTCTGCTCTTGTTCTCAGAGCCAGGCCTTGCGGTGGTTGGGCCAGAGGTTCAGAACTTCAGCCTCTGAGTTGCCCTGAGTGTCCTGTTAGCACCGAGAAAATCAGGGGAAAGCGTAGCTCTCAGCAGGGCCTGTTGTCTGGGACTTGCTGAATGAGCAGGGCGTTGCGCTAAATTAACCTCTCATTTTAGGGTTTATGTTGTGAATGATTCTTTGTTAAAAACTGTCACTTTGTTTGCAGAAGATCTGTATTTTAAAATGTTTTATGATATCTACTCAGCTAATTTATTTGCTCTTTTTCTCTTGCTGTTCTTATTTTCCCATTTTCTCATCCTCCTCATTCTGACTTACTTATACAGTGAAAAGGATTTGGTGAAACAGGCAAAAACCTTAAATAGTGCAGCAAACAAACTGATCCAGAAGCATCATTAGACATTTTTATGTCTGGCCACCTCACAGCTCTGACATCAGAACTCATTTATGAGGGGAGAACTTGAGAATTGCTAAAAGCAACGGTTAAAATGTTAATTGTCACCTAAAGTTGATTTGGAATTTGCTGAATTTTTAAAATCAGTGAGTTTTTCTTCAGAGATTTAGAGTCGGGTATAAAAATCCCTAACTTTGCCATTTAAACTGTGTTAAAGTACCAATGAGCTGGCCCATAGACGCACCAGAAAAGCGTAAGGAATGGGAGCTGTGTGGCTCTGTCCATCCCGGTGATGTGTACCGTATACAGCAGCTCAAGTCTTCACCAGTGATGGATACTGGGTGCGTTGGTCCGGCCCAGGCCAGACTGGCCAGCTCCAGAAAGTCAACTAGTTTTTTGTGTTACCCTTTTTGTGAAGTAGACGAAAAAAAAAAAAGCATCCCTGGAAGTTGTTGAAAGTAGTTGTGTGCGTTCCCCAAGCCGTTACCCGTTCACTTCTGTTCCGTGGGTTCAGCCCCAAGTCCAAGACAAGCGGGCGCGACTCGATAGCTCGTCACCGTGGAGACCAGCCCTCTTGTAACCGAGACTGCTTGCAACGATTTTGCCTTAGTGACTTGGTGGGGAAGGGGGGGGCTTATGACTTATCCTTGTTCCTTTAAACTTCATGTGTCCAGAATTAGTAGCTAGGTGTCTTAGAGTAACATGATAGAGTGGTAAGTCCAGTGGAAACCTCCTTGTCTTTGCATTGCCTTCTACCTCTGCCAGGAATAATCCCTCTAGACAGATGTTGTGGTTCTTCCCGACCGAAGGAGGCTGAGGAGGGGGTTTTGGTAGGTCTCTCATTTTCCTAGAAAGGGAAGTTACACGTTTTACAAACAAACAAAAAAAAAATCCGATCTTTATACTCTAGTGTTTAAAAGAAACAAAAAGTACCCAGGAAAAGGAACAAAAGTGCAGTGGTGGGGAGTGGAAATGGTCATTTAGTACTGGACCGTTCCTTGTCTGAGTAGTCAGTGGTCTAAAAGGAAGTTGCCTTTTACTATTACACTTCTTTCATTTGCTTCTGAGTTTCCCTTGCCCAATACAAATGGAATTTGCTAATGAAAGAACAGCTAAAGCTTGGAAACAGCTCCAGGCAGGAAACATAATTGCCAATTTAACACCCCAGTGCAAAACTTAAGTAACTGGACCTCGGCCTATTGTAAGCTAATGTTCTCTTCCCTGTGGCCGCACAGGCCTGAGGTTGTAAGTGCTCCTAGAGATTTCTCTTTTTCTTTCAAGAAGATCACATTTGGGGGTTTTCCCTCTTGAATACGAGGCTGTTTTGCTCTGCTGAGATGCCCGTAGAAATTCTTTGGGTGCCAGTTCTCCCTTTGTCCAGTGCTTCTTGGGGCAGTGGGTGGCAAACGTGACTGAAAACGCAGCTGGGGAAAGGTCACCGCGTGGAAACGCGTGAGGCTCGGCCTGGCCCTCCTGTGCGCCCGCGCGTACCACCGCTTGGCTCGTCCGACGGGCTCCCGCGCGCAGGCAGACCTGGGGACCCGTTGTAAGTCTCCACGCGATGCCCCAGTCGCATGCTTGAGTGTATAACCTCAACCTTCAGCAACCCTTTACTAAAAACGCGTTTTAGCTCCCTGGAGAAGAAACCAAAACAAAGGGAAAGGTGGAAGCTTTCCTCAGGGTACCCCAATAGCTAGCTAGAACAGTCAGCTCCCCGGATTTCTCCCGCAGAAACAGGGGGCTGGGCTGGGCAGTAACGCTGAAATGAGGCAGAATTTAAGGATCTGGCCGTTGCTGATGTCGGGCCCGAAGCGGAAACGCTTCGGTGTGCTGACGCCCGGGCGCTTGAGCCAACGCGTCAGTCGGTGGAAGAGGCCAGGACAGCGCACTCACTCTCAGTACAGTAGCTAACCTGTCTTGCAAGTTCCAGTTACACGTGTAAAGCTGAAATGTAACCTACATTAAAATCAAATTTGACTTAAAATTCTGTGTACTTGAGGTTTGCTTTGGATCTGGATACAAGTGGTGTTTTCTGTTTTTCATCTAATGGCTGTAAACTGTAGTAATAGAATAAAAACTGTTGAAAATCAGAGCTTCTGCCTGGTTCACCTACATTTTGCTTTTCTTTAAAATATTTTCCTCCTTTCCGTTGTTTTTACCATTTGTTTTTTTTTTGGCTTTACCTTTTCACTGGGTTTTTTTATTTGCTGGTTAAACTCGGTCTTCCTCCCCACCATGGCTTTTGTTTTTTATCACAAGTTCATGTGGCTCAAATCCAGATTGCGACAGGCGGAGAAGGACCGTCAGTTGGCCCAGCAGGACAACCGTCTCTTCAAGCAGGAGTTTGGGGACAAAATCAACAGCCTCCAGCTAGAAGTGGAAGAGCTCTCCAGGCAGCGGTGAAGAGATCCTTTTCTAATCTGTTTTCTGGGCTGTTCTGGCTGTGTCTGGCAGAAGGCAGGCAGGGCGATGGCCGGAGGAAGTCAGGGTTGGGGGTGGGGAGAGACAAGGCTAGCAGCGCTAGGGATGCAGGACGGAGATCGCTGCGAAACCAATTTGGGACGGGCGGGTAGATCCTCGGCCTGCGCTGAGGTCGAGGGGCCTGCGGTAGGGAATGGGAGTTTGCTGGAGGTGTGCTTCCGAGCGCAGCCGGGTCTCTGCTGGCAGCGTAGGTCTCTCCCACCTCTGGCGTTGCATCAGACGCCCCACTGCGCGAGCGTAATTTGGAATGTAAAGCCAACGCTGAGAGCAGACAGTGCGATGCACCTTGGCGGGGACATAGCGGCAGAGTCCTTGCCTAGAGCTGACGCCGGGCAGTCTGGAGCAAGGGCAGCAATCCTGGTTGTCAGGCTGACACACAGCCCTGTGCCTTTTTTGTTTCCGGTTGAAACTGGTCTCAGTTTTGCTGGGAGACAACCAAAAAGTTGGAAGCCAAATGTAGAGACCTTGGCAAGAGCAGTCGTATTTTCCCCTGCAGTGTCATCCATTTACCAGGATTGGGAAAACAGAGAAAAATATAAATGCTCCTCCTTAAAAGGAGGGAGCCTTGGGGAGCGCTCTGTGGGATAACCAGGGAGCGCCTCTTCTCTGCACGTGCGCCTTCCGCTGAGTCAGTGTAACTCAGCTGCAGCTACCCGGGGAGGACACTGGCACCTTTCTGCGTTGGCGGGCCTTTCTCCCGTACTTTCCTTGCTCCAGCTAAGTCAGGTGTGGGGATGATGGAGCCTCCTTCCCCGGGAGGTTGCACTGCTTTCCCTAACTGGGTTCCCAAAGCAGTGGGTTACTGGAGGGCGCTGCAGTGCTTGGTGGGTGGTGTTGCTGGAGCTACGTTCCTTTAAGAGGAAACGTGGCTTTTTGTGGTGGTGGTGTTAAATCCACTTTATAAAACAGGAATTCTCGGTTGGTTTGTTTTTAAATGTCAGTGTGGGCGAGGATTCGTTTCTGGATCTAATTCTCCACCAGCTTTACTGACTTCTGTTGGGCTCTGTAATTAATGAGGCTGTAGTCATAACAAATTGCTTAGACCGCTGGCGCAGTATGGAGGCTAATGAGGGTAATAATGGATAATGTTGGTTTTGATAGCAGTGAGGATACTGAATGTTGTGTAGTACAAACGTTGCCACTGGTTTTACCAGCAGATGCTGGTAAAGGGGTTGTTCCCTGCGGCAGCAGCCACGTGTTACTTGTAACCATGTCAGGAAACAGCCTTTCTGGCACTGCAGTCCCAGGTGGTCCGTGTGCTCCAATAGCCTGGTCCCTGTTGCGCGCAGACCGGCTGCAGACGTGGAGGCACGGAGCTTCCTGGTGGCCCAGGGGGTAGGCTCTCTGATCCACAGCTTGATTTAGAATCGTGCCCGCTTCGGGCCGTGTCAGGGACCCCGGCGTTGCGCTCAGCCGTGTCATTGTTCCCTGCGGCTCAGTGTGCTGTGGCGCATGCACCGTGGGACTGACACAGAAGCCTCGGCGGCGGTACCAGGGCAGAGCAGCAGCCCGACTGCTTCGTGGTCGTGAAGGAGCACGTGTCATGCCTCCGTGACGGGTTAGGCTAGACCAGGGAGAGGACTGGGGTCCGTAGAACAGCACATGCATCCTGTATTCAGCCCACCGGGCTCACCTCTCCTACTCAAGCCCAGGTACTGACCTGCTCATGTGCTGTGGCTCTGCCAGCGTCAGCAGCAGAGTACTCCCAGTGCGGAGCCCGCGGTTGCTCCGTGAGGACCAAGCCCCGCTCTCAGGCAGGGTGTCGGAAGAATCGTCGCAGCTCTGAGAGGCACAGTCCATCCGTCCTGTGTGTACGGCTTGGGGAGATGGTCATAGTGTTGGCATCGGTTTCGGAGCTTGTCCCATAGCAGCTGCCATGCTGAAGGTCTTTTTGAACAGGGCACTGACCAACAGTTCTGTAAGAGATGAATAGCTAATTCGTTTTTAAGGACCTGCAGACAGGTTTATTTCCTGCAAAATTATGCTGGAATTAGATTAAGGACTTGCAGATTTTTTCCATCCTGATGTATTATGGCTTAACACACCGTGTTTATTCTTTATATAAGTTTATTATATGTTTATTCTTTATATACACACACTCTTTATTCTAAGAGGCAGTGTTCAGCTCTTGAATTGGGATTCAGTTGCTTTAGGGTGAAGAGAGGTTGGTTAGTTCATCAGCTCTGTGTAGAGTGTTCTATAGGCCTTTATTCACAATTCCATCTCAATATTCTAGGAGCCACCTTGAACTCGAACTGAGGCGGGAGAGAGACAGATGGTCACACAGTCACCAGCGGATCCAAGAAAACAAAAAAGGCCCAAAGAACTGGCTGAGACAGGTAATACGAGGGTTTTTTTTTTTGTTTCCTTCTTGGCTTGTGTTTGAAGTATGGTTTCATTTTGCTCATGTGCTTTTCCTGAGCTTTATTAGGCGATAAATGTGTATTGTTAACGTGCCACAACAAAATGAGCTTTGGAACGATTTGTGCACATGCTGAGTAGGCAGTTCATTGGTTTGAGCCTCACAAAAATAGTGGAACCATAGAAGCACAGAAAGGTTTGTGTTGGAGGAGACGTTAAAGCCCATCCAGTTCCAACCCCCCTGCCATGGGCAGGGACACCTTCCACTAGACCAGGTTGCTCAAAACCTCATCCAGCCTGGCCTTGAAAACTTCCAGGGATGGGGCATCCACAGCTTCTCTGGCCAACCTGTTCCAGTGCTTCATCACCCTCTCCAGGAAGAATTTCTTCCTGACACTTCGCAGCAGAACACTGGTTTCCTCTTCCAAGCTGGGTACCTGATGAGATCTTGACCGTGATTGCACTTTTCCTTCACTGGCTTTGTAAACCCAAGCGTAACGCAACAGGAGAGATGCTGTACGCGTTACACTGTATGAAAAGCAAACGTGCTCATTTTTACTCTTCGCATCCTAATAAGGGAAATTCTCCCTGAAGAGTTTAACAGTAAAACTTGGAAGACAAACTTACCTTGAGGGCATCACAAAGCACTTTGTGTTCTTCCGGTGCTGCACATTAGTGAATTCAGTGTGTTATAAAAGGGAAGTGCAGTGTTCATCTTGAGAGTAAAACTCAGAGTCTCCGAGCAAAACTCCCTTTTTAGCAGTAAATTTGCCTTTGAAAGTGAAAATCTGCCCTGCAGCTTTTTCTGCAAAACGAAAACGGGCTTTTTTGCTGGGAATTGGCAGTAAAACAGTTGTTCCGGAGAACAAAACTTGCAACTGTGAGAACTGGGAAGTGGTAGAAGTTCTTCCCACAATTCTCACGTGTGCTGCTGTGCTTGATCTGGTGGAAGCGTGCATTTGCAGAAATGGAAGAGCTTCCAACCCCCCTGCCATGGGCAGAGACGCCCACCACCAGACCAGGTTGCTCAAAGCCTCATCCAGCCTGGCCTTGAACACTTCTCGGTCTCTGCTGTGAAAATAACAGATGGTGACCGTGAAGTTTCTTGTACCTGTGGCCACTGGACGCGTCTGAGTCCATCTCTGCCGTGTGAAGTCAGCTTCTTGTGCATAGCGAGAAGACAGCGCGCAGAGCTGCTCCGGGGGTGGATTGGGCTTTCTGTGCTTTCACGTCTCCCCGTCCACCTCTGTGCTGCGGAGGGGCGGTTCCTGCAACAGCCACGTGAAGTCTCCCTTCGCAGCGTGGCAGGGCTGGAACTGGAGTCTTCCTGCAGTTCAGCTGATGGGTAAACCTTTTGTTTTGGCAGGACGGGAAGCTCAAAATCCAGGAAGAAAACGCTAAACTGAAACAGCCACTAAGAGAGGAGAACAGTGTCCTGCCAGACAAGTATGGAAGAAATCTCTTTCTTGCCTTCTCCTTGATGAAGTCCTGCTTCCCCTTCTCTCGTTTCTTTGCTGTCGGGAAGTTTGGGATAGTGCAGCTACCCCTTCTGGGAAAGATTTGCAATCTCATGCCCTTTGCTGAGGTCTCTCTGCTGCTTTTTCGTAGCTCTCGCAGGGAAGGAGGAGGTGGTACTGCTTCCTGTCAGCGTTTCTGGATCTGGAAAGCTCTCTCTCTCACCCTTTACCTTTGGGTTTGTGTCTGTGCAAATCTGCTGATTACCAATTTTTCTACCTCAGTGAACTTCCGTAAGCCCGGTGCTGCGGAGACCTGGGCTTTTGGGTCCGAAGGGGGTATCTGCGGTGAGGGAAAGGAGAAGGGCTGGTGGATCAGTGGCATTTGGAGCTAATAAACGGTGGCTTCTGGACAAGAGTGGAAGCTGGCGGAGAAAGAGAACTTGAAATGCTGTCTCAAGATGGGTGGATAGAAACGTTAGTCCAGGTGGCATGTGTCTAAGCTGAATATTACAGAGGAGGATTCTCCCTGTGGGATGGATTTAGTATTGGAAAGCCACGTTTCAGATTTGGGTTTAAATCTGGAAAGATGGTTTAAAAGCTACAGGGAACAGCTCCGTAACGAGGACTTTGCTCGGGGTTAGTAACGGCCTATTTGAAGTGCTTGAATGTCAGTGCAAAACCGCAGCACGCTGAGTGTCAGCGCGCAGTTCATCAGACAAGCCTTGTCTTAAGAACAGCATAAGCCGAATTCCGATCTGCTTTACCAGGCCTTAAAAACCTTCCAGGCCTTAGATACTCTACCGCTGCCTGTTCACAGCAGCCGTGGGGCATCAGACGTTTTGTGGTAAGAAGCCTAAAGGTGGTTTTAAGCTGTGTTTGTACCATCTAAACAGTCTTTTCCAGGGTTGAACTCTTTTCCCTCTGCTCTTCTGAAGGTATTTTACAAGTTTTCCTCCTGCTCTTCCCATTGAGCCAGGAATCCTGGATGTCTAAACAGCACCCGTCACACGCTGCCTCTTGGCTTGGCTGCGGGACAGAGGTTAGGAACGCCTCAGCTCGTACGCCAGCGGAATTTGAAGGGTCAAACCCCCCAGAGTCTGTATGGGTAGGGCTTTACAAGCAGGCTGAGGGAATTCTGTGACGGTTCAGATGTTTCTCTCGAACGAGGCGGTGACTGGAGTGCCAGCTCCGAGTGACGGTGTTCTTCTCTTGTAGGTCCCCGAGCGGCACACAGGAAGAGCAGGTGGGTGATTCTTTGTCTTGTGTTGAAATTCTGAAGGGTGAAGGTAGCCAGGGAGCTCCTGGTTCACTGCAGCATCTTCTCTGCCCAAATACCCTGAAGGTTGTCCTTCGGGTTTTGCCTTGGTGAGGATTTGTCTGTGGAGTCCATAGCAGCAGGCATTGCCTATTGGAATAAGCGCTGTTTATCTCATTAGAAGAACGCTTTTAGTTGGCAGCACTGAGTTCCTTTTGCCTCCCCAGCAAAACCATGGTGGTTTTTCAAAGGATATTAACCCCTTCTATTGCTCCTTTGCCCTGTGCCTTTCCTGGGTTGGTATGTCGAAGAACAATGAAAGCCATAACATCACTGAGTCAAAGTGGCCGGAATCCATTCTGTATCCCCTGGATGCCTGGCAAAGCGTGGCTGGAGCCCTGACTGCCAGTGGGATGCTGCAACACTTGTGTTGTACCCTCTCTGCTGGGAATTCCTGCATGGGTCAGCTTGTTCTCACAGGGAAAAAGATGTTTCGTTCCCATGTTGTTGCTGGGCCAGCAGCCTTGATCTCAGCCTGAAAATCGAGCTGCGAGGTCCTTGGTTCACGCAGCCGCCGCTGTGCTTCCCCGTCTGCCCCGTGGCACGGCCAGGGCACGTGTCCGTCGTCCTGCAGAGGCGCGGCGGCCCTGCCTGGCTGCACAGCGTGCTGTCCGCAGAGCGGGTCGAAACGCGGGCGCGTCAACTCTCCCCCCCGGGTTGGAAGATGCGTAGCAGCCGCGGAGCTCTCACATGGGTAAAGCGTAAAGCGTAACATCTTGGTTTTGACTTGGGGTTTAGGAGCAGCTGCTGGAACCTGGAAATGCCGAGATCTGCCAGCTCTGCCAGGAAGAAAGCAGCCGAAGCAAAAAGAAGGTAACTCCGAGGACGCGCGTTTCCTCCGATTTCCTTCCCAAACAGCATAGGCTTCCTCCTGCTGACCTGGGACAAAGACACGAGCCCTTTTCTGAGGTCCACTCTACCCTTAAGCTTGTTAAACGGGGGGTTGCTTGAGGGTTTCCCACCCTGCTCCGTGTTTGGTGGTTTGTTTTTCCTTCCCTTTGGCAGCTTCTTCCCTTGTTAGCTAAATGGATTTTTTTCTGGGATCAGTCAGAAGGGAGAATAGGAGGCGTTAATGCTTGTTTGCTGCTTCCCCACTTCTGTTATTTTCACTCTTTGTTGCTGAGCCCCTCTTGCATTCCTCACCGCTTTACACTCTGAACCTAGAGGGATTACTAGAGATGTGAGGGGTGCTGCCTCCATTCCGGTGCTTTCCTCAGCGATGCTGAGGGGCGGTTTACCAGGAAACAAGTCCAGGTGCCGATAAAACTGCTGTCAGTGCAGCAGGCACCCAGGCCACGCTGGTGCAGGTGCTTTGGGGGGGAGCTGGAAGGCAGCGTTAGGTTTTCCCCTGGTTGATCTGCCAAGACCTGCCCCGAAGGGCTGCTGGGGGCTGTGGGCAGACGGGAGCGGGGAGGAGAGCGCTTTCCGGCAGTGCCGGCCTCTGACCTCCGCACCTGGGTGAAGGGGAACCAGCAGCTCGGTTGCAAATGGTCTGGGGAAGTTTCTGGGAGGACTGGGGAGCGCAGCGAGGTTACCTGACCACGAAACTTCCCAGGCTCATGGGGAGAGGCCGTGTTTGGCCAAGTGACCAGTGGGGGAGTTGCCGCTTTTCTGGGCCGGGGCTCCCAGCTGCAGCCGTGTTTGCAGTCCCGCCTGGCACAGAGACAGGCCTGGCACTGGGGGTTTGGCCAGGGCACACAGCTGCTCCCCAGCCAGCCCGCTCCGCCACGCCTGCGGTGATGGTGCTCCTCAGCGGGGTCAGCAGCCAGCCCGCTCCTCCCCGACGCTGCAGTACCGTGATGCTTACATCAGGCAGTGAGGGGGCCCGATTGCCCACCCAGTCACCCTCCGAACCTCCCCGGTTAGGCATCTGGGTAGTCCTGTAGGGTTTTTAGTCTTTCCCATTCCCCTGTGTTTATCTTGAGAAAACGTGCTTTCAGAGCTAAGCAAATGCCACAGCTTCATACCCGACTTCGATAGGTTTGCAAGTGCGCGGGCACATTGAAATACCTTGGGCAAGACTTGCTGTTCCAGTGTATTTTATGGCTCTGAAATAAGACACGTGCACCTGGTGTGACAGAACGCTCTGCTAGACCCTGGGTTAAAACTTGAATGGTTCCTTATGGTGGCGCTCACTCGCTCTGCTGTGAAGCTCTCACCTGCTCTCGCCTGACCAAAGCAGCTTTGCTGTAAACGGGTCCCAGCCCAGAAGCGAACTCAGGGTCTGCGGGGGGGACAGGAGTGGAGCTGGGCGCGTCCTTCTCTAGCCCAGCAGATGATCTGGAGCCACTGAATGAGACAAAACCTACATTTGTGTCGTGTCTTGAGTGTCTCCTTAATTTCTCTGTCCTCTTCCTGCATTCCAGAACATCTGCAAGAACTGCGGTGGCATCTTCTGTGAGGCCTGTTCGGCGAACGAGCTGCCCCTCCCATCCAGTATCGACCCCCAGCGCGTCTGCAATCCTTGTCACAAGCAGCTCATCCAGCAGTATTCCAACAGTCCCTTGTAGGGGGCGCGTGGCGGAGAGAGAGGCGGCAAAAAGACGGTTGTAGCCAATGCTGGTTTCTGGAGTTGTTCAGGGGGGATGGGAAGAGCCTGTGTTCTTGGGAGGTGAGAGGAGAAGCAGCTTCGTGGTGTTTACAGTCTCTCGTGACTAAAGCAACGGTCTGAGCCTTCCCTGCGCAAAAATCTGCCTGCTCTCGGGCCTGAGCTTGTGCTGGGGGAGCCGCCTTGGGAGCGGCACATGAATAGCCCCAAGGTGTGCCCCGGCAGCCTCGGGGCGCAGTGAGAACGGAGAGCCCCCGCCCACAGAAGAGCCGCGTGCGTGCACGCGTGTCTGCGCGTGCCAGTCGGGGACGTCCCCATCCTCAGGCGCGCAAGCGTGGTGCTGCTGGGCAAAGGCTCGCTGAAAGCACAACGGGAGCGTTCTTAACCCTCGTGTCTGGCTGCACTTGAAATACTGTCTTCTCCTTTCCCGGCTGCCTTTGACAGTCTGGCCCGGGCGTGCGACATCCGTGCCAGGCGTGAGCAGGCCAGGCAGGACGCCGACGGACACTTGCCAGCTTCATTCCTTTGGCTCAGCCCTCTGGCCGTGGGCTTGCTCTGCGCATCAGTATCGAAAAACTGAAGCTGTGAATGTTCTCCTTCTGTATGTCCAGGGCTGGGGTTGTAGGCGCTTCTGAGGCACGCAGGATGCCAGAACTGACGACCTGCACTGCTGGGGCACAAAAGTCCCTTAAGGCATCTCTGACGTGGCACTCAGAGACCCTCACCCTGGCTTCCCGACTGCGCAGCGGCAGCCAAAGCTAAAGGTGTACCTGTACGTCCTCTCTCAGAGTGGTAACTGGAGGGATCGATTCCTAAGTAGCCACCAAATCCTCATCGCGACACTGAAGGTTTAGGGACGCTTCGATCCACCTCTCCCCCTCGTGCACATGAAAAAGTTGTCGTAATAAACCCGGTGTTTCCCTTTTTTTGTTGCTGTATCAAAATGAAGGCAAGATGACCTCAGAGGGCTTCCCATCTGCTGGCAGTTCCAGCTGGAAACAGTTCAGAGGGGTTTCACGGTTCACGCTACGTCATTCACTGTTGCTGTTACCTCAAGGAATTCCGTGTCGCTCCAGAAGCGGCGGGGGCTTGCACGGCACGGCAGCATTTATCCTGGTTTAGCCTGGAAGCCTACTTCAGGCCTTCGGACCACAGGACGTTTGCAGTAACTAGGAAGCCGATGTCTTTGTACGTGACAAACGCATTTGGGTTTGTACCGATTTAATTAGGGGTTAGTGGTTTGATTCCCCAGAGGCGGTTTCTGTTCCTCAGCCCAGCTGGAACCGCGTTAAAAGCGTGTCAGAGCTGAGGTTCTGCACGTGGTTGGTGCTGGTTTGTACCAGGAATTGCTCTCCCATGGCGTTCTCAAGGCCTTGGCATCTTGAGCCACCTGAACTCTCCCCAGATCCTCGGTGCCCTTCAGAGCCGGAGCGCTTCACAGGGTTTACACGCTTTCTGTTCTCTTTTCCTGCCCTGTTTCTCCCCTCGCGTCAGTCGCCAGGTGCGTTTTCATACGGCTGTCCCCAAGCTGAGCGGCTGTAAGCAGCGGCGCAGCACGCAAAGCCTGGGATCCAGGGGCGGGCACGCCGCTTTGCGGACGCGAGACACCGGAGGCGACACCGTGTTTAGCGTCCGTGGTGGCGTGTACACACCATACGCCGCTCCAAGACTCCAGTTCCCGCATCTGAACCCAGTGCGGCTCCTCCCCCGGGGAGAGAGCGAGCCCCCAGCCGCTCCCAACTGGAAAGCCGGCTCTTGCTGCAGGTTGTTGCAGTGCTGCTGTGCCCGGCGTTGGCAGCTCAGAGGCGACAGCCGAAGGGGGGCACCTACCTCGCGTG